GGGGGGGGGGGGGGGGGGGGTTCCCCTCTAATTGGCAGGCTTGGTGGCAGTAATCCTTCAAGTCACACAAAAGAGGTTTGGCACACTTAATCAAATAACAGGATTAGCACCAAGTCTGGGAACCACAGTTTCGGCATGACCAAGGAGAAAATGTGACAATAGAGGAGTCTATGCAAAGCATTCAAAAGTGGAGAATATTTTTTTTGCACCATTAGGAGATATTTTTTGGCAAAATACCTGCTTGTGTGTTAAACGGGGGGAAGGAGCCGCTCTGTATTTTCACTCTCTTTTCATCTTGAAGAGCAAACCTTCAAGGAAAAGGGAGACACGGGGCTGTGAAACACCCCTCAGGTGGGCCTGCGAGCTCACATTGCGTGAGGGAGCTGGTCAGGGTGATGGGTGCTTGAATGCTGCAGGAATTGCTGGTAATTGGCTGTCCATCAACGGAAACCAAAATTGACTTAGATTCTCTCCCCTTTCTTTTCTCTTTCAGATACGTTCAGAGGGTAGCCTTGTGGATGGCCCCGGAGCAGGCCAGATGGAACAGGACAGAACCAACCATGTTGACGGCAATAGATTGAGTCCATTTTTAATACCACAATCTTCTCACGTTTGCCCGGCAGAGCCTTCTGCAGTGAAGCTACAGAATGGAAGTCCAGCAACAGAGAGGCCTGAAGTTGAAGTAAATGGAGACCACAAGCGGCTACTCATTAAAAGCAGCTATGGAGTGCCCCACCTGAAGGGAAATCCAAACAACCGCGTTAGCCCTGACCTTTTACAAGAAAAGAAAGTATATTCCAAATATATGCAAAATGGTGGGATAAAACGCACTTTTAGTGAGCCCTCTCTGTATGGACTTCATGAGAACAAGAAAGCGAAACAAGACAAAGAGGTGAACGGAGAAAAAGCTGAGCCAGAAGATAATAATGAAAAACCAAGCGTCTCCAATTGTTATAGTGAGAAGAAACCCGAGAGTTTTACAAGACAAGAAAATGAAGTTTCAGATTTGATACAGCCTACAAGATACAACAGTGGTGGTTCAGAAAACCCTCGTGACCTCCTGGTTCAGGATGAGCAGGAGCAGGAAAACGTTCATTGCCACAACAGGGACATTGTCTTACTACTCAAGAACAAGGCGGTGCCAATGCCTAATGGTGCTACAGTTTCTGCCTCTTCCATGGAAAGCATGCATGGTGAACTCCTGGAGAAAACACTGTCTCAATATTATCCAGAACATGTTTCCATAGCAATGCAGAAGAACACATCTCATATCAATGCCATTACCAGTCAGGCTACTAATGAGTTGTCCTACGAGACAACGCATTCATCCCATACCTCAGGGCAGATCACTTCCCCACAGACCTCAAACTCTGAGCTGCCTCAAGTGCCAGCTGTAGTGGTTACTGAGGTCTACAACGCAGAAGACTCCAGTAACCCACCTGTATTGCCAGGTAGCTGTTCGCTTCAGAAACCAGAACTACAGCTACAGCAGCAGATTCCAGGCTATGATCCACGCCAGTTACCCGTAGGAAACAGTACTGTTCGTGGAAGCGTAGGGCAGGTTCCCAACCCAGACCTCTCTCTAAGTTCCAGCAGTAACCTGCAAGCTCAGAGCGCCTCTCTGGAAAGGTTTTCTGAGCAAGCAGAAAAAAATGGTGCTTTCTTTAAACAGAACTCAACTTTTCACAAAGATTCCTCTACTCCTCCTGCTCCGGCAATGAACAGTGCACTGTCCGTCGTGGTGCGAGAAGGACTCCATTCCTTTGACAGCAGATGTGACAAAACTCTTCCTGGGGAGATAAAGAATGAAGAAGGGCAACAGCAGGGACCAATGTCAGAAAGTCCCAGCCTCAGCCAACAACAACAACTTCACCCTCAGCAGAGACTTCCGCAGCAGGCCCAAACGTCACCAGATGCTAGTGAAAGCCACCCCCAAGCCGCTGTGGCCGCCTCGATGCAGCAGCCCCCAGAAGAAACGACGCCGGCGTCAGAGCCTCCCCTCCCGAACCTGCAGGCGCGCGGAAGCGAGGGTGAGTTGCAGCAACACTACCAGCCTTTCCCAGGACACAGAGAACCTGAGATTCCTCCCGACAAAGCAAAGGACCAAGCGAAAGAGCCTGCGCAACAGGCTCCACGTTATTCAAAACCAGCCTGGATAGAACTGGTTTCCACCCAGTTCCGCCAGGGAGAGCCTCCCCAAAAGCCCAGCGAAGCTTTATTGCGATCCATTCTGCAGTTCCAGGCAAACACAGCCGAAACAGCCTACACGAAACAGTATGCTGGAAGTCCTGATGCATTAAAGGGGCCTTCAGGGCAGCCCCAGAGCCAGAAGATAATGCAACAGGAACAAATCCCCCCGCTGTACAAAAGCGAGACCTCCCAGCTGCAGCCGCGTCCCACAGCTGACCACCAGCAGCTGCCCTTCCAGAAACACTCACCGCAGCCACAGCTCACCAAGATGGATTCCCTACTCCAGTCCCAAGTGCAGCAACACCCTCCGCAGCAGCTCCATTTCCAGCAACGACCAGAACAACAAGCCAAACAGCCTTTAGGGGCCCCGTTGAAACAGCAGCACTTGAATCCCCAGCCGGGGGAAAACGAGCAATTCTTGCATTCACACATTTTGCAACAGATGCTGCAAAAACAGGCACAGCAGGTGCAACTGCCGTGCAGTTCACAGCTAACCCCAAACCAGCAACAGGCTCTGCAAATGAAAAATAAAGAGCTGCCCCAAGCCATTTCCCACTCCCAAAGCAACGCCGAACAGCCGCTAGACAGGACATCCTTCAATCAGCTTAAAGCAGATGAATGTTTTCAAACTGGGAATAAGTACATGAAATCAGCTGCGTTCCCACTGCACAGCCCTCAGCTAGGCCTAGAGCAGGGACAGAGCACGAACAACAAAGCTCCCCTTTACACTCAGAAAGCAAACGCTGGTCTGCAGCATCCCTGCCCAAACAACGTGCACTCGATCTCCGAGAAGAAAGAAAACCCCACAAATATGGAACGCTTCGGAGCCAACAAAATGCAGGATTTGCAACACGTGCAGTATTTTTCAAATAACTTGACCGCAAAGCAAGATGTGAATCACTCTTTCCAAGAACAAGAGCAACAGACACAACAAGCTTCAGTGATACAGCTACCACCTCTCCAGCAAACACAGTGCTACGGTGGTGGCCTCAACCAAGACCCCTTGAGCCAACAATCCACGCAGATTCCTCAGCGGTACTTACCACACGGCCAGCAAACCGCCCCACACTCCCAAGACCAGAGAGGCTCTCATTTGCAGTCCCAAACCCCTAAGGATTTTCAAAAGCACGCTGCTTTAAGGTGGCATCTCTTGCAAAAACAGGAGCAACAAGCATACCAGCAACCCAAACCCGAGATTGGTCCCAGTCCAGCACGCAAGCCTATAAAAATCGAGGCTGGCACAAAGTCTAATGTCTGCATGCGTCCATCAGCTGGACAGCTGGAAAACAAAATGTGGAAGAAAACAATTAAACAAGAGAATCAGCACTTTGGCTGCGAGAACATGCAACAAAAGAGCATCATCGAGACAATGGAACAGCAGCTAAAACAGATACAGGTCAAATCACTGTTTGATCACAAAACTTTTACTATCAAATCACCTAAACATGTGAAGGTTGAAACAGCAGGCCCTATTACCATCCTCTCAAGAAATACCAGTGCTGCAGATTTTGACACTCAGACCCCAATCTTAGATCAGCAAGCAAACCCGTCTGCTGAGAAAACCCCGACCAAAAGAACAGCTGGAACTGTTCTCAATAATTTTTTAGACTCACCTTCCAAGTTATTGGATACTCCTGTAAAAAATTTATTGGACACACCTGCCAAAACCCAGTATGATTTCCCATCTTGCAGCTGTGTGGGTAAGTGCTGAGATGTACTAAAAATGTACTAGTTCACAGGAAGGAAATGAGCCTTCAAGTTAGGATCACGGGGTTAGATGGATGTTTTTGTTGGAGGATTTTTTGGGTTGTTTTTTTTAGAATAGCAATTAGTAAAGACTTATAAAATTGCAATTTTATATACATATACCTACTCATCCAACCCTACGCACGGGCCCTTTCTCAATATTTCATAAAGCAATTGCCTATTTGTTTTTACAGTCAGAATGCTTATGGCCAGTAATGTATCCCCTCGCATCCATTCTCCTTGAGCAGCAGACATGTAATGACAACATGCTGATAAAAAACAGGTCATAACTTTATGCTCTAATTTATTCATCAAGGTTAGATATAGCATTTATAAAATATGTCCTGAGTCCAAAACTTATGCCATTTTTTGCTTTAAGAGTGAAATTGCTGAAGTTTCCTTCAGTAAAGCCTAAACAAAGAAGGGATGGCAGATTATTTCTCGCTTGTTGCAAGTTAATCTTAACTTGTTGTTTATCCTCCCTTTCACACACTTGTCTCCTGCAAGGCTAAAGAGAGCAGCAGTTTCTTAGAGAAGCTATGCAAGCAGCTCCAAAAAAGCAGCAAGGGGGACCCTCAGTGTTTCTTCACTGCACACCCGATCTCCAAAAATTGGAAGAATAGAGCAGAGGGAAGCAAAGGAGAGTGACAGGCAGGGCTGGGTAGCCCGAGCTTCCACACAGCACTGACACTGCACACAGCCAGGTCCAACAGGCACTTTCAGACTCTATTGGATAAACTATTGAGGCTGAGACAAAACATTCAGTGCCAAAAACAAGAACAACAAAAAAAAAAATTAAAAATCCTTGTTAATAGTTTCACTAACTGAGATTTCATACCAACTATAAAAGAGGAAAGTTTGAACCAATGCTCCTCCAAAACTGCAAAATGGACCTTTTTGCCTTTTCAGCCACCTGGGCCTATGTCTCAGAAATGATCCATGGGAACAAAAAGAGGAGTTAATGGATCTCCAAAGCTCCCAGGAAGAAAACTGGAAGCCTGTTCCTTGTTGTTTTATAAGAAACAACCTACAAAATGCAGTTTTTTGGAAAGTTGATTGGGGCTTTTTGTCTTGAGACGGTTTCTGCAGTGTAGTTGGCACAAGATTTTCTGGCAATCATTTCATTATTCTTACTATTTTTTTAGCCAGTGCTGTAACCGCTAGCTAAGCAAAAGAGGTTATCCTCCACTTGCATTTGAATTCTTCAGTCTTAGCAGACCCTCTAGGAAATAAAGGAGCATAAAAGTTAGTTCCTTGTCCTCTTTGAAGAACCCAGTGCCACAGCATAATCAATAGGGTTTATAGCTCTTTTCTACCAATACTTGTTTTTAGGAAGATTAAATTAAACTATTCCCCTATTGACACATTGAGGTTTATAGCATGCCTACGTCAAGAGCAGCATCACCTCATCCAGCCTTTGGAGTTAGCATGGCAGAAAGCATCAAGTCAGCCCTCAGACAAGTCAGCACAGCTCCACCATCTCCTCCTGAACCCAAGCAGAGCCTGGCCATTTCTTTCTCACTGCCAGAGCCTGCCTTCTTATATCAAACCATACATATAGCATAGATTGTGAATGCTGACATGGTCCTACCTACACACAATGAACTGAGGGCACGTTCTTAGCATACGAGCATTTTGATTCAGCCTTGTGCAGGATTTCTTTCAGCAAACTTGCCTTTTTTTTTCATTTCACAGAGTCTTTCTGTGGGTGGCAGAAATTCTCTATGTAACCTTACTGGCCACTTTCTCAAGTTGTAGGTTCCTACACTGTAACATGTCTGCTGAAAAACAAGTACTGTACAGCTCACTAACGTCAATGTTTACCGTTGTTATCCCATTTATCCTCCTTTCTAGATACTGGGAGAGGAGGAAGTGGGAGAAGGAGAAACAATTGTTTGGTGATAACAGGAAAATGCCTTTTGAATTTCGGTTTAGAGTCCAAGATGTGAAACAACTGTTTGTGCTAGCAAAAGGCACACAGTCCATATCACGGCTGTTTGCAGGATTAGCCACGTGCTTTGCATGTTTTGTAGAAATTACGTGAGCATACTTTAGACATAAGTGTGAAAACTCTGACCCCAGACCCATACAGCACTATTCTAACGAGCTAGATGTAAGCTTTGCAATGTGACTTTTTACATTAAAGAATTAAGCTTCAAAGTAATAACCTTTATTTTGTTTTAAACAGAGCAAATTATTGAAAAAGATGAAGGTCCTTTCTATACCCATCTAGGAGCCGGTCCTAATGTGGCAGCTATTAGAGAAATCATGGAAGAAAGGTAATTAGTGCAAAGGCACAGGGCAGATTAACGTTTATCCTTTTGTGGATGTCAGAATTTTTCCAGCTTTTGCACATAAAGAAATAAACAATTGCAAATCAAGTAATTACTTGTAGGCTTAGCTACTCCAGTGTTGCCAACATTACGCACTGTGCTATTCACCAGAGAGTCACAATATTTGACAGGGCTAATAGTCTGCTGGCTGGCACGGGCTGCACACTTTGAGACAGATGCCAGCAAACCCAAGCAGGAACAAGTATTCACCAGCCTGCCAAGCAAGAGGGTTGGCAATGGCTGCAAAAAGCAGGCATGGACCTGGTGTTCCCTCTGGGTAGGAGAACGCCAAGGTAGAAGGAAGATGAAGAGCAGAATACCAAACTCCAAAATCAGTGCCCCCACCCAAATTACGAAGCGTGTAGTAAAACCCTAAAGGGCTAAATCTAACTCGGCCACGTCCAGAGGAGCACCACAAAGTTGTTGGATAGGATTTCAGCCCAAGGATTGATAAATAACTTTGTGGAAAAAAAAATCCCCCTGACTCAGAGTATTGCACAAAACTAGCCTTATCTTGATTGTGGACAATCCCTGTATCCCATGATACATTTATTACATCAAAGCCAACCAAACCAGGAATTTGGAATGGCACAGAATGGATACATAATCAGTACTATTTAAAAATATGCGTAAGCACAAAACCCACCAGCCTTTCTAAGGTATTTAAATTAAAAACTGTCACAAAAGTTACTTCTGTACTGTGAATTCTGCATTCCTTGTATCTTTTGGCATGCGTAAATATCAACGGCCAGATTTTTAGAGGTGTCTGGAAATTCAGTTCCCCTCTGAAAAATAAGCAAATGAAAAGCTCCCTAGTAAGTCAGAGCCAGATGGGAATTTGCATACCTTAAAAACTGGACTCCACAACTGCAAAGAAGCTCCAGCTTAGTTGCAGAACCAGAAGGAAATGGGCATTATCACAGTGCTCTGTGTGAGCCAAGGAGCACCGTTTCTTAGCAAGGTCTGTTAGTTTATGCTCATCCCTGCATGACCACTTAAGGCATATTAAACCCTTCCGATTACCTCTAAGTTCTAAGGTCCTTTCTCTTCTCTTAGCACCTCCTTCCCTGTGACTCCTGTGCAGGCCTTGCCCCAATACTTGTTTTCAGCTTTGTGAGCAGCTCAAATGCACGTAACCTACACCAATGGGCTTCTTCCTGCAAAGGGGCAGTGAACACTGGCCCTCCTGAGGAGCTTCTTACTACTTGTTATCTCCAGAGCTCTCATTGACTGGTTAATTATTTAGTATTTACAAATAGTAAATAAAAGAGGAAAGTCATTCATGTCATGATGTCAATTATTAGAGATGAAACTTTTTTTCATTTCTTTACTTTGGAATGTAATTTTTCATCCTTAATATTGACCTCACCTTTTCTCTTTTTTTTTTTTTTTGTTTTCTTTTTTTTTTTGCATTTAATTTCATTTCATGTTGGCAGAAGGAAATCCTGAGAGATTATAGATAACATGCATCTACTCAGCCAGGTTCAGCAGAGTATAGCAGCAGCCACTTGAATAATGGCTAGTTTTCAGCTGTTCATATGGTATGAACTGTGCGATTCCCTGACTGAAGAACTCCAGAAACTCCTCCTCATTAGTTAATTTTGTATCCCCAAGTAAAAAAAAAAAAGCACTTAACTCTAAAATATACTCTCAGGCACACGTGTGCAGTTGGTGACACTAATGACAATTGAGGCACACTTAAACTGGCTCCCCATGAAAGTGGATTGACTTTTAAGGTATCAGCACCACCAAACAAACCAGGATTTGGATTTAGACTTGCAGTTAATATCTTAGCAGAACAAATTCCTTGCAGAATCCGTGGTGGATACATATGTATTACCTCTTGCTTCTCCCAATCTCTACTTCATGCTCAGTGAGTTTTGCTTTGGTTTTAAAGCCAATCAGCTCTGGCCTGAAAGCAAGCATGACAAATATCAGGCACAAATTCCTTTGTGACAGTTGAAAAGATTTGAGAGAAAGTTCATTTCACTCCCAGTGTGTAATGTGCAACGTATTTCTATAGCAGCATCTGCACAGTTGTCCTGCAATCCAGATTAGCAAATTGATAGAAATTGTTAAGATTTTTAAATGTTGTTTTTAATGTGGTTAATTAAAGGAACAAATATATACTAACATCCAAGCCTAAGTAGGAAAAAGTGACCTAACAGTTGCCTGCAAAACATGTGTAGTACAACTTGATTTTATTTGTATAATTTCCTGTGACACTGAAATTTCACAATGAGATCACAGCTAAAAATAAGCTTTTTTTTTCATTTCCTTTACAGGACAGAAGTTTAAATACAAATATTTACTCTTAAATATGTCAGCGAGGTTTTAGCGCAAAAACAAGAGGGATGAAAGGTCAAAAGTGCTCAAGACATCATTAAATGGCTGCATAACAGGAAGGAACTATCTTGATTGCTCTATAGGTAACAGGCAAAGAACAAGGAGAGGGTGATTTAGTCTCCACAGGTTTCTAACTCATGGCCTCACCTGAGACCTGGTGTGCTGGAGGGCTCAGCAGGTGGGGGCACCCCCCATCTGCTGCAGCAGCCCCCAGGGGAGAGGCCTGGCCCCACAACATGCCTGGAAATGCACGACCTTAACAGGTCTGATGCTTTTTGTTGAGTCAAGATTTGCTCCATTTGGCACTTGCCACACGTTTCCACCTGGTCCATCAGAGGACGTGGAAAGCGGATCCCATTTGCTCTGGGTAACAGCACTACTTGCACGTGGGGTTAAAGGCACACACAGATGGCATCATTTGAGGGCATCTTGTGATCCAAATTCAGTCTAAAAGTCAGGCAGAAGTAAAGAAGTAACAATTTATGAGGAGATGATAAAGTAAAGGAAATAGATATGATGCAAATTAATCATGACTTAACTGATTCACACTGTATTTAAGCCAGAAACAAGCACTGAAAATTAATAGTGACTACTGCATGCCAGCTGTTCCATGACAACTGATTATATACATTTCAGAGTAATAACTTTAACCCAGAAATTAAAGAAAAATATCACATTACTCCCCTAAATAGAGAGACTTCAAGTCCACTTTTTAAAATGTCATTTATAACAGATTCTCTACAGAAACAGTTAAAAGGTTTGGGAATATAAATGCGATATGGATAATTTTTACTCATCTGTGATGTATTAAAGACATTTGCCTCTCTTAACGTATCAATCCACCACTGTAATAAAATCGGCAAGATAAACCACATTGCACATCCCTCCCTGTAATTCACAGTGTTTATTTTTTAAGATAAGACTGGCAAACGTGCTCCATCTTTTCAGTGTTCACACAGCTCCAAATGAGTCTGCTCATTGTACGTATTTTTGTTTGTTTAAGATTTGGACAGAAGGGTAAAGCTATAAGGATTGAGAGGGTTGTCTACACTGGGAAAGAAGGCAAAAGTTCTCAAGGATGTCCAATTGCTAAATGGGTAAGTGATGCACACAAATGGTAAGACCAATCTAGTTGAGTATGAGGGTTCCTGTAAGCAGACAGACAGCAGTGACACGTCCTTCTGTTGGCTGCTGACACTGGGGAACCTAAAATAGCTCGGCAGCAGCCGTAGCGCGGGATGCCTGTACCCTGCTCCCACCCCTGCCTCTCACACTCCCCTTGAGTTACTGCACGGAGAACAGAAAGGATAAAATTTGGCTTAAAGGAATGAAAACCTGAGAGGGAAGGCAGTTTTGCTCAGATTTAAGATTCACAACCACCAGACATCCTCCTTGCTGGTTAATTTTAGCTTACAAATAAGTCCAGTAAGTGCACCACTGTGATGTTTTTTAAAATGCACTCCCAGTTTGAGTGGGGTTGCTCCCTCTTAGCAAACACTGTCGTACTGTGGCACAAATTGCTGAGTGGTTTGGGCAGGCTGGGGAAAGACAGGATGAGGAAAAACTGAATACATGATTATAGTCTCTATGCGTGCCAGACTGCACCTTTTTTTTCAGAAATACCCACAGCAGCACAAGCACCGAGAAGCAAGGACACTTTTATTTGAACAACATCTGCTGCTTTCCTCTCATCCCTGCAATGTTTGTTTGTAGTAAGGGCAGGTCACAAAGCTGAGTGGCCGGTTACAAGTTTAGCTGCTTAAGTTTGGGAGGGAAAGGGAGAGAGCTCCCACGTAGGGTTATTTAGTGTTATTTAGTCCCTTTCCTTAGCCATCTCCCTTCCCCCATGTGGCTCCTGCTCAGGTGTCCACCATCCACCTCTGTGCGGGGAGGTGTCACACTGCTCATTTCCTTTTGTCCACTAGTTAAACTAGACCACAGCAAATATTCATGAGAATATTCCTGCTGAATCAGAGGACGGGGGATACCTTTACAAAGCTGGTTTCCACCACCATGGATTTCCATCCCATCAGTCAAGCTTAGCCTCCTAGACTCAGCTTCATTAAACAGAAGGGGTAGCCCTGGCCCGTATCACTAACGAGACAGAAGTAGAAGTCACCTCCCCACACACACGCTGATGCTGAGGTTTCCTATTCTCCTGCTCTTTGCATTAAGAAACGCATTGTTTGTGTTGGGGCTCTGGGGGTGTGTTCTGCTGTGCATGCAGGTAGTCCGCAGAAGCAGTCAGGAGGAAAAGCTGCTCTGCCTGGTGCGCGAGCGAGCGGGACACACGTGCGAGACGGCCGTGATCGTCATCCTCATCCTGGTGTGGGAGGGGATCCCAACGAGCCTGGCCGACAAGCTCTACTCCGAACTCACCGACACGCTGCGGAAGTACGGCACGCTCACCAACCGGCGCTGCGCCCTCAACGAAGAGTAAGTGGAACAAAGGGTTGCTCCCCAAACTTGCAGCCCCACCACCATCAGCCTCTTACCCTGAAATACTCAACAACCTTTCCAGCTATTTCAGGCAGCTTGAAAACCCGCAAACCCTGGGAGAAATGCAAAGTAAACATTCTTGTAAGTCAGGGAATAACATCTTCACGGAGTTGCGAAGCATCTCGGTGTATTTAAAGGAAGAGATCTCAGCAGGGCGCGGGACAGCAGATACTTCAACCTTGAAATGAAAACTAGATGAACTAAGTCACACTGTCAGCCTACAGAAGCTAGCCTGAATCTAAAGAGTTTGCACTGTATCGTTTTCCCATGTCTTTCTGAGAGCAAAGAACATTTAGACCAAAATAACACAGCTAGCACCGTGTGTTGTGTCGGCTTCATGGGCAGAGCCATATTTCAGGAATTAGTGCTTAGCCCCTGTCAGAGGGCTCCCCGTTCTCGCTGTGCTGCCAGCACACACCCTGTTCAGGTTCCGTGACCATCGCTCCCAAACAAGGCACCACACAAACATAACCTCTTGAGCAAATCCAGGTTTCTCACAGAAGCATAGAAAACCCACAGTCCTTGCTTTGCGTGACCATCGCTCCCAAACAAGGCACCACGCAAACATAACCTCTTCTGAGCAAAGCCAGGTTTCTCACAAAAGCATAGAAAACCCACAGTCCTTGCTTTGCAACCATAAAACTATTTGCTCTGATAAAATCTTCTGCTATAATGTGTCTGCCTCTCTCATTTCTTCATTATTTACCGATGGAAGACAACCCAAGAGCAGTGATGCCCCAGAGCACCGGCAGAAGGCCAGTGCCCACTGTGGGAGTGCCCCGGGGTGACCCACCTGCTGCTAACAGCTCTATTCTCTTATTTTTTTAGGCGGACTTGTGCATGTCAAGGGCTGGACCCTGAAACTTGTGGTGCTTCATTTTCCTTTGGTTGCTCCTGGAGCATGTACTACAACGGTTGTAAGTTTGCCAGAAGCAAGATTCCGAGAAAGTTTAAGCTGATGGGGGACGACCCAAAAGAGGTTGGTGTCCATTTCTAAAATGAGCCTCATTTGCAAGGAAACATTTTCTGTCAACTCTGCAAATAGAGATACAGTACAAGAGACCAGGGGCCAGAGCCCTGCCTGAATGGCATACACGTAGGGTAATTAAATAACTGCCAGTCAAAACTGATTGATTCCAGTCACTGAGCCAGCTGAATTGACTGTCCAAATTCTGACAGCTGGTAAAAGCCCTGAGACTTGAAGCCATGTTTGCAGGCTTTCACAATTAGAGGAGAGGGCATGGCCTGAATAATTGTGGCTGTATTAGGCTGCAATTGGGCATTCCCCGGTGGCGGAGCGGAAGGGTTACCAACCCAATGCACACAACATTGCAACTGGAAACCAGAGCAGGCTGCATGGAGACAAACATGATGAAACTCCAAGATGAGGATAGGAAGACTCATTCTCCATACGGTCCTGCCCCACTGAGTGTTTCCAGACTGGGCTCTGTGTTACAGCAAAACTGCCAACTGTTTAAAACAAGTCAGAGCAATAAAAAAAGCATTGACCTTAGCCTGGGCACAAGATACCTTTGAAGTCATGACTGCAGTGACTCCTGGACACCTCCAGCCAGTCATGTGTCTGGGAGGCTCCAATGGCCCGCTCTCTTTTTTGGCAAGCACGTGCAGATTTAGTCCCTTGCTTATGTACTGATACATAGGTTCACAGCTTTTGCTGTATTCTGGTGTCTTACACAAATCCAAGCATTTCTTTCACCCAATCAGAGACCAAAGCACTTATGCATCCTATGGCATGCTATTTAGAATGTCGTCATAATTAACATACAGTTTTTCCTCCCTTCTGCTCTTCTACAGTCCCAAGAATTACAGAACAGCTCACCTCCAATCATGCTGTGGCACAAAGCCTTCTGTATCATAGCCTGCAATCCTAAACCCCCCAAATTTTCTAAGCTGGATACCTGGCCAGAGCCCACCAGGGCACTCTTCCAACTTGCATTCCTGGATTTACTTCCCATGGAAGCCAGAGCTGGGTGGGAAAGATGGTTTTACCCTCCAATCTTGTTCCCACACAAAGTCAGGGGCAGCCCAAGCCCAGACCAGGGGCTGGGTCCCATAGCATAGACACAGTTTTTAGGCAACACACACGGGATCCTCACCAATAAAAACCAGAAGCAACACTTACAAATGGTGACCTATGGGCCATACAAGAGCTCCAAGTTCTGGCAGCAGCCATAAGGTCACAGCAAGATATTTTTGACAATTTCATAATGTCATTTTGGAGTCTCAAACTAGGATAGTCCCACAGTGGGTGATAGAAACTTTTAATGCATCAAACACACACCTGTCTCAAACCCATAGGTTTTTCACAGCTCTTTCCTACAGTCCTAAAATACACAAACTCCTAAAAACAAGTATACCGCTCCAGTATGTCACTGTTCCTTATGCACTTGAAATTAAAAATAAGGGCCTCATGTAAGCAAGGTTTGAATTTGGGATTCTCATCCTGAGAGAATGGGGAACAACTTTGGAGTATGTTATTAGAGTACTTCATTTTTAAAGAGCCCTTCATCTTGAGAATGTGTCCCATCCTCATAGAAAAAAAGTAGTGTGGTCATTCCTACTTCCATATCACCAACTGCTGGACACATCCACCTTCATTGCTTAAGAATTGGGAAGTTCTTGAAGTCTGAAATATTTAAGTAATTTTAAATTGCTGCATGAAAAGATATTTCAGATTGTCAATGATTGTCAATGTCAAAAGATTGTCATTGCAATGTGCAAAACCCTTAAATTAGCCTGATTTACTTGATGGACCATTCTGATATTTCTCTCAAGCTTTCTGAAGAGTATTATTTTCCCAAAACTCCAGTAGAGAAAGTAAGGAGGATCATCACATTTTGATCTAAAACATTTCCGTGTTGAAGAATGTGATTCTTCTTAATATAAAACAAATTAAGATTATGGTATGTGATGTCCTCTTGCAGGGATAACACTACACTACTTTACTACTTCATTACTTTAAAGGCTGTGAAACAGTAAAATTAGAAGGAGATTCACAACAGTTATTGTCTAAACAAGAATGATAACGGTCTGGGCCTTCACACAACTATCAGTGTAAACATAATTGTGTAAAGACCATAACTTCTTAGACCCATACATACGGTATAGAAACATCATTGAACTCTGTTTCATCTCCTAACAGGAAGAAAAACTAGAATCCAATTTGCAGAACCTGTCAACCCTGATGGCACCTACCTACAAGAAGCTTGCACCTGATGCATATAACAACCAGGTATGCTGGGGAAAAAAAGGAACTGGAGCAGTCATGCAAATAACCTGATTTTTACCACACTTCCCAATGCTTCAGCCTCGCACCAAACCAGTAGGTACACTTCGTGCCAGCATTCCTTTGACATCGGGGTAAAGACAAATGGAAATGAACAATTCCACTTAAAATGCTTGCAAAAATAAAACTAGCAGAATTTGGTCCGCTGAATAGAACTAATCCTTTCACCTACATCAACACAACAAAATTCCTTCACACTTGAGCAGAACTCTTCAGCTCCACAACACAAATTCCTGGGTTTAACATGACTCACCAAGCTCAACTAGCAAAACAGCCATGAAGATGGTGTGAGACTGGCAGCAGTGCCAGAAGGCCGTGTATCAGACTGCACTCGAGTCCCGAAGTCATAGTTTCAGTTCTGCTCTCTCAAGTGGCAGACAAATTTAGTTTTCACCAAAGTTTGAAGGCAGTTTCATGTTTGAACACACTCAGCCTGCCTGCACCAGCAGATCGTCTGCATATAGTTTCTGTAAAGCAGCATTCACAGATACTAGCACATTCAAAGCTTTCATGAGGCTCCCAGTTTGGCAGTCTCTCCTCTGCATTCCTTTACTAAAACTCTTTCAGATAATTGCATTATAGTTTTACAAAATACCCCTTGGAAATGCATAACTGCTGGCCTTCACTTTCATTGCTTAGCTTCAGTATCATCACAAACATTCACAGAACTTACAGTCTCCAAAATATCAGCATCACTGCAGACTATGACATCTCCTTTCTTTCCTGGTGACAGCATTAGGGTGTAGCAACCAGCACACAACAGATTTTCAACCGTAACAAAAACAGTTGACTAACACAAAACCGTCCATTTTTATTTGCCAGAAAACTCACTCCTGCACGTTTAGTAGCAACTCGAGAGGGTAAGCAGATGTAGCCAATTTCACTTACCTGATCAGATAATGTTTGGAGGCTCGTTATGGAGGAAACTGTGGCCATGTGCCCACTGGCTGTGGTTATCTGTCCAAGTATCTGAGAGACGTTCTGCAAGAGAAGAAAAGAAGAGGAAGAATAAAAAATGAGGGGGTGGTGAACAATAGAATGGTTCTTTGCTTGGCCTGCTTTTCTTTTCCCACAAAAATTCACAAAAGAACTTTTCTCCGTGGAAGCTGTGGACCTGCCCAACACTTGTTGAAAACACATGCTTTTACAAGTTTCAATTTTTACCTTGTGTAATGAGGCATGTGTATAGCTCACCTCCTTCAAGACTTTCATGCAGACCTTGCATTTGTGGGCAAACCCTGATCAAGCTGCTCTCAGTGGCTTTAAAGAGAGATGGTCGAGGCCTGATTTGAATGGTACTGTAAAAGGTTCTAAAAACCAAAAGTCCCTAAAACCAATGCCCCTTTGAATCCCCCAAAGAAATTCCAGATTCCCAGATTTATTCTAATCCAAGCCTGGATTGCTACTGGATTAAAAGCTAGAATTGGAAAGGATTTGTTGTTTCCAACTGGACCCAACAGAACGTCTCAGAAAGCAGTTGTACCAGTATACTTTAATCAGATAATTATAGTCTGGCTAACATTTCAGACTACTATCATTTAATTCCAAAGAAGTTTACATGTTTCAAGTTCTGTTCTGCTTTTATATATTTCAGGCAAGTAAATATTCCAAATTTTAAAAATAAGGTCAATGAGCAAACTAGACATCTTTTAGTGGTCTTGGATCGAGACTTGGCAAAACTTCTAATTTCACTTTAACTTAAAATGGGATCCATTAAGTTCCATTAAGATTTTTTTGCATTCACTTGAAAGGTTCAGGAATGTCAGCAAAGCATTTTACAAATGTGGTTTCATTTTTAATTCTCTAAATAAAATACGAAACTGTCATTTGACTAAGGCTTGATCTTCCATTACAAAATCCGTTCTTTTTTTTTGTGTAAGGTTTATCATTGCATCATCAACTAAGTTGCAAAGCTCCTTAATAATGAGTGCATGGGTAGAAAGTACTGTCTTGACTGAATTCTCTGTCTTTAGTCAGGATTTAGAGTCATACTTAAGCTAATGAAATATACGTTTAGCATGCCAAAATATTACAAATCAAAAAGCAAATTATTATTTTTCATGAAGTCATTCTGAAGTCAGTTTTCTAAAGCCATTTTCCTTTAATAGCTTGATATATCTCCAGTCTGCACAAACATATCACTCTTAGGGTGCCAGACGCTGAAACCACACACTGCATTTGTCATGTCAAAACACCAACCACCGGCAGCGCATCAGAAGCAATACACAAAGAAAAGCATTATTGGCCAATTTCACAATCACGCCAGAGACAGAAGGTAACGGGGAACAAACCAGCAGGGAATTAAGGATGGACACAAAATTGCTATCGAATTGCTTGATATTTTTTTTTTATCTTCGAGATCTGTATGTTGCCACCTCCAAGATGTTAGGGAACTGGTACGTTGACACAGTGTCAACGTTGGGTGCTAATTCTATGCACCAGAGCATCCAGCTGGGTTGCAGTGATGCCTGTCACCTTTTTGCAGATCGAGTATGAGCACAGAGCACCCGAGTGTCGCCTGGGCTTAAAAGAAGGTCGCCCGTTCTCAGGGGTCACCGCCTGCCTGGATTTCTGCGCTCACGCCCACAGAGACCTGCACAACATGCAGAACGGGAGTACCCTGGTAAGTCTGACACACACACAGCCTCCTTACAGCCAGCACTGATTCCATACATTTAATTCATTATCTCCCAGCTGTTTAAATTTATACTCGCATAACGCAGATGGCTAAAAAAAGAATCATTAAGCAGTAATTGAGCTAACTTATTATCCCCTACACAATTTTTCATTCAAACCAATGAGACTTATGGTGTATTAAAGAAAGGTTTAATATAGAACGGGTAAAAGAGAAACCCTGAAGACAATGGAAAGAAGTTCCCAGCAGGCCTGAAATCCCCCTTTCAGTGTTCCTGGCACAAAATGGTTTATATTTGTCCTCTTGAAACATTTTTTTTTCTAACAACTTTGGATTATATCTTCTAATAAAATAAAAATGGAAACAAATAACTTCTTTCCAGAAGAGTTTAGGAAGCTGTGGATTTCATTCCTGCTTGTGATGAGCACAAAGTCGCAAGCCCTGCCATCCTTTCTATTGTACACACACCCTTTACTCTTTCAGTTCTGGTCTCCAGCACGCACAGCAAAGGCTCTGGAGAAGATACCAGAAAAGCGAGCTGGTTTTCTATGTGTCTTGGATTATTTCTGTTCCCTGCTTACTCTTTCCATAACAATACAATTGGGGTAAATGTGAGAAAGAATAATCTTCAGTTTTGAATAATCAGAGTTGTAATTTGAAGCAACTACCTAGATTCACAGTGCAAATTCAATTTCAAAAAACAATTCACAACCAAAAGAAATATCTACTTTTTTAATCCCAACTGACTTTTTCCTGTTTCCAGGATCGGACTTAATTGACAAGTCAACTACCACCAATCAACTGACTTTTTCCTGTTTCCAGGACTGGACTTAATTGACAAGTCAACTACCACCAATAGAATACATATTTCTAGCTGAGCTGTCTTCCTAAAAACTGGCTGATGCAATGATTTTGCTACAGAATATGTCTGTATCAGCATCTTTTTCCACTGAGATCCTCCCAACATCTACTTTAGCTGGAGCAAACACAACGAGCGTGCTGCGTGACACAACAGTAACTTCCTTAAATCTTATTATTTACATTACAGTGTCTTGCTCCTTCGCAAAGACCTGGAAGCTGCCATTGTAAGGGGGTGTGAAATACAACAGCAGTATGTTATATTGCACGCTACTTCTAATAGCTGCCTAGCTTATGTATTCTAGTGAAAAAATAATACAAAACTAGTATGGAGTTCCAGGTTCCACTGTTTTAGCTCTCCAGTCATAGAATCATAGAATCATTGAGGTTGGAAGAGACCCGTGGGATCATCGAGTCCAACCATCTACCCTACTCTAGATGGTTGGATGGTCATGGTACAAAGGATCACATAGTTCGTTTCACATTAGGATAATCCCTAACTATACTGTTCATTTCAGCACAAGTACAAGAAATAGATATATGTATACACCTTCTGTTTCTATTGACACTGTCCAATGGAAGAAATGAAATTGCAGGCTTGTTGTGATGTGCATAAATTGCACAGAACCTTACAGTTGGCAAGTAGCTTGCCAGATGCCAGCAGTGGCAGGGCAAGGTAAAAAGCACAGGCCAGTATTTCAGAGCTCTTCTTCTCAGACTTACTCTACCACGCCTTTCCAACAGGTTTGCACACTAACTAGAGAAGACAATCGTGAAATCGGCCAAACACCAGAAGATGAGCAGCTCCACGTGCTCCCATTATACAAAGTCTCTGACGTGGACGAGTTTGGAAGCGCTGAGGGCCAGGAGGAGAAGAAGAGGAACGGCAGCATCCAGGTCCTGACCTCCTTTCGCCGGAAAGTGAGGATGTTAGCAGAGCCCGTCAAGACGTGTCGGCAAAGGAAGCTAGAAGCGAAGAAAGCAGCTGCAGAAAAGCTTTCCTCCTTGGAGAACGGGTCTAGCAAAGCTGAGAGAGAGAAGTCTGCTGCAGCACGCAACAAGCAAGGCAGCTCTGAGGCGGCAGGGCACGCAAAGCAGCTAGCAGGTAAACACAGGGATCTGACCAGGATCTTTGTCAACAGCTTCCTAGAAATCCGGGCGATTTATAATGAGCCTCAAGAAAACCATTATTCTCAGCCCAAGAACATTTTAAAGTAAGAGGGAAAGAGAATTCTTGAAAGTAAACACCAATATTCAATATTTATAAATATTAGACTGGCAAATTGTATGAGAAATCCTTTACTGTTGGGTAGTTAATACCGGTAGAAATCTGGTGCTTTTGCAAGCTGTGCTTGCCATTGTAAAGTATCTTTACAGGAGTAGTAGTGTTAGAAGCCACAAAAAGAAGTGTGTGATGATGCTGCCAAAGAAAGAATGACCTACACATCACTCCCTTCTCTGCCACTGTTACTGAGAACCTCCTAATTTGAGGGGATTCAAGCCTAACCTCTTTACCACTACGTATACTCTGCTTCAAGACCAAAAAGCAGAGCAGGTGTTTCCACAGTGGAGTAAGAGTTTAAAAATCCACTTAACAATCCCCGGCAGTTTTCATCAGTAGATTTGAGAGTCCTGAGCAAAGGAGTTCATCATGACTATTTTATTGTTACAGCAGCTTTCTCAGAGGGGGGAAAAAAGGGATACATCCAAGGCCACGCAGAAGGTCACTGAAATACCTATGAATAGAAGTCAGCTGTCCCATGACCTAGGCTAGGGTTGTAACCATTAAACGATGCCATTTCACTTTAATGAATGATGGTTTTTCCTCTTATGTCACTTGTTACTGAACTGTTCTCTCTGTCAGTGAATGTCACCCTTGGTTTTTTTTTTTACATAAAGCTAGGGATATTTTTTTGAGACAGTTCTATTAATATAGATGAGAAGAATTATTTATTCTTAGGGAAAAGAAGGTCACCTTGTGCACGGCTGTTTGGGAGGACTTTGATGCTCCATTTCATGGGCTACTTAAATGATGATTCAACTCTTTGGATTTTGAGCATGTGACTCTGAACAGATTGCACTGTCCTCTTTTTCCCCGTTGCCACTAGCATCTGATCTCACTGGATACATGCCAAAAAGGATGAGTAGCCTTAGTATTTATTCAGCTTCTTAAAGGATGGTATTGGAGATATGAGAAAGGAAGCCTCTGTTAATGTATCATATGATATACTTTTCTTGGAAATTTCACAGATGTGTATCATGAAAGTCTATAAATATGTTGTTTGTTGGCTTGGTGTTTTTTTTTTTAAAAAAAAGCTTGTTTGTTGTGTTGTTTGTTTTTTTTTTTATTTTCACATCTACAGATCTTTTACGTCTTTCAGGACCAGCCACACAACAACAACAGCAGCAGCAACAACAACATCCACAGCGCACTCTCCCTAACAACCCTCAGCCAAATCCTGTTAACTCTTACTCGGGTTCAGGTTCTGCAAATCTCTATGTAAGGTTGCCTAATCCAGCCAATGCTTATCCGAGCTCTTCATACACTTCAGATCCCTATGGAGGGTCCAGTCCCATGAACCTCTACACAACCTCATCACAGCCTGCGGGGTCTTATTTGAATTCTTCCAGTCCCATGAACCCTTATTCAGGATCATTAAGTCAAAATAACCAATATCCACCCTACCAATGCAATGGAAACATGCCTATGGACAACTGCCCCCCTTACTTGGGATCCTACTCTTCCCAGCATCAGCACGTGGACTTGTATAGTTGCCAGAGCCAAGACCCCATGTCTAAACTAAGTCTACCACCCATTCAAACATTATACCAGCATAGGTTTGGGAATAACCAGAGTTTTGGTCCCAAGTACTTGAATTACGGAAACCAAAATATGCAGGTAGACTCCTTCAGTAACTGCACCATTAGACCAAATGTACACCACGTGGGGTCTTTCTCCTCTTACTCCACCCATGAGGCTGACGGCCATTTTATGGAGGTTGCCTCAAGGTTAAAATCTAATTTGAGTAATCCGAGCATGGATTATGCCTCCATGAGTAAAAGCAGTGAACATCATCATGTGCAACCCCTTCCACATTTAGCGCACGACTACCATTCTGCTCAAAACATGTTTAGTGGTCCTCCTAATTCACTGCATCTCCAAAGTAAGGATAGTGAAATGATTTCACATGCAGTTAATGGTTTGTCTAACATGCTTCCAGGTCAAAACCATGATAGGACTACTTCCCAGGGTGGTTTAGATAAAGCTGAAGTGGTGAATCCAGAAAAAGCAGAGGATCCCGATGAAGTCTGGTCAGATAGCGAGCAGAGCTTTCTGGATCCAGAAATTGGAGGAGTGGCAGTTGCTCCATCTCACGGGTCAATCCTCATAGAGTGCGCAAAACGTGAGCTCCACGCAACGACTCCCTTAAAAAACCCCAACAGGAACCATCCCACCAGAATATCCCTCGTCTTTTACCAGCACAAGAGCATGAACGAGCCGAAACACGGTCTGGCTCTGTGGGAGGCAAAGATGGCTGAGAAGGCAAGAGAGAAAGAGGAGGAATGCGAGAAGTACGGCCCAGACTACGTGCCTCAGAAATCTTACGGCAAAAAAGCCAAGCGGGAGCCCGCGGAGCCACACGAACCCTCGGAGCCCACCTACCTGCGCTTCATCAAGTCTCTTGCACAAAGGACACTCTCGGTCACCACAGACTCCACAGTAACTACATCTCCATATGCCTTTACACGGGTTACAGGGCCTTACAACCGATATATCTAACTTCACACCTTTGTTGGTTACCTCATTTGAAAAAAAAAAAAACAAACAAAACACCTTGTCAGTAGGGTAGTTCTTCTTTAGGTTTTGGGGAAGGCAAGGGTGAAGAAGAAAACAGTGTTTTTACAAAACCCGTCAGTGGAAAAAGCCTCAGCACACCAGCAACACGAGGTAATCTCACTTAGCGCACTTATTTTCCACTGATTTTTAAGTGGTCACAGATGGCATGTAGGGAACAAGACCAAAGCATCCTATGCAAAAACAAAAGCAAAAGAAAAAAAAAAAAAGTGTTTCACAATTTACATTTGAAAACACTGGCTCCATTACTGAAAGAGATAATCTGCAGATAGATTATTTTTTTTTTTTTCTTACAGTTTTGCACATCTGTGGCCACTTTTAATGTCATCAAGTTTGCATAGTCATGGAACAGGAGCAAAAAAAAAAGAAAAACCCTAAAAAAATAATACTGTAGTATTACAACTGCAGGAATCTTAAAATAACATCTGGTGCTGAATCTACGATGTACTGAAATACTGGAATTATGGCTTTTTAACATGCAGTTTTTACTGTAATCTTATTAGTCTCTTGATTTTATTTAACAAAGTAGATAAGTATAAAACATAATGAATAGACAGCAAAACACTGAATTTGTTTGGATATTCTAAAACCATGGTGCTATCTAAGAGAATGGTGTCTTTATTTTAACAGTCAAACAGTTAATGCCTTTATAACAAAATGTCAATGATGTAGTCAAATGTTCTTCGACAACAGGGAGGACCTTTTCATTCATGTATGTATTGAATTTACCTGGTGTTAAAATAAGCTTACTTTTTAACATATGGGAATTACAAAGACCTCTGGATTTTGCTCATCCAGTCAAGTCCTAGAAAAGGACAATAAAATAGAGAGAGAGATATTTTTTTTTAAATAGTGTTTCAAAAGCACTTTGTCTACCTAAGCTTGGCAACTTGAACAATGCTAAGGTACTAAGACATTAAAAAAAAAAAAAAAAAGGAAAAAAGTTTACTTTGATTTTAAAATGCAAAGATAATTTTTTTAGACTAAAAAAAAAAGCTTTTAAATACTTTTGTTTTAGCCATGCATCTGCTAGTGGGCTACATATCCATTTTTAATACAGTCAGTTATGGCAAAAATGGGGCTTACTGGATATAAGGGAATACTTTAGTACACAAAACACATGTTTTTCTGGTGCTCATCTCACACAGCTATACTGTAAACTGTTTTCTACAATTATTATGACAAGTTCATTGCTCAAATATGTACAGTTTTAAGGAAAAGAATTTTATATTAACCACAGGTAATAATTAGCAGCATGCGACAGACTACAACTAGTTAGCTTGGGCTTCTGTTTCTAAAGATCTGTGTGCTCTTCAAATATTGAATGGCAGATCGCTTTTGTGTTGATAATTATGTACATTGTGGTGTTAAGTCATTTCTTGGTGCAAGTGTCCTCTTTGCCAGGAAGATTGAGCAGACCGATGCCTACACAAGATGAATGAAACAGGGTTAGTTCTGTGTGATTCCGTTGATGAAATAGAAAAAAAAAAAATAAAAAATAGGCAGCTGGCTTGCTGTGGTGGTTTTAAATCATTAATTTCTATTAAAAAAAATAAAAGCAGGAGAGTTGTATAGTAAATTAAATTGTAAACAAAACTTTTTTTAACGCAATGCTTTAGTATTTTAGTACTGTAAAAATATTAAATCTATATATATTTGGGTTTTGAGCTGAATTCACATCATGGTGCTACTCAGCCTGCTACAAATATATCATAATGTGAGCTAAAAAGAAAAATACATTAAAAGGTTTGAGTGATGTTCCTACTTGTCATATACCTCAACACTAGTTTGGCAATAGGATATTGAACTGAGTGTGAAAGTTTATATATTGTATACCATCTTTTTCCCCCAATAGCCTTTGAAAAAAACAAATAAAAAAAAATAAAACAAAAAAAACTCTCTCAATACTTGACATTTTAGCAAGTATAACTTGAACTTCAACTTTTTTTTTTTTTTTTGGTTCTAAAAATTCAGGGATATTTCAGCTCATGTTCTCCTATGCCAACGTGTCACCTGTGTGTATGTAAAGCTGTTATAGGTTAAATATATTATTCTTGGGCTTTTTGTTTTGTTGTTTTTTTTTTTTCTTTTTTCAGGGATTTAATGCTTTTCTTTTGAATCCCTTCTCTAATTTTTCTTGTACATGTATTGATGTAACTAAAACTAATTTTGTAAATTCGTTAGCTCTTTTTATTGTAATGAAAGTGTTTAAGAGATTTAGAATGTTTTGCCTGTTTCAAACGAATAAACAAAAAGAAAGTAGAATGCACTGAGCTGATTAAAGGGAAAAACGTAAGGCAGGGGTTTGGCAAGTGACTGTTTGCTAGAGTTGTTCAAGTCACTCTCTAAACAAGGCTTCTTGAATACTGTAATGAATTAAATAGAATATAAAAAGGTACAGTCTGTACAAGGGCTTCCCTAAACACGCAAACCTCCACGTCCCAGATATATCTTGTGCAATATACTGTAAGATTAAGTTTGGTCGAAAGAAATTTTATCTAACAGAATCACAACCTAACTCGAGTAAATCAAAGGAGGCCTTTGGGTTTAAATGGTCAAATATTTATTATGGCAATTTTGTTTTTTAATTCTCAGTCTGTGACTTCACCCACTGCATTGAAACAAAAGTTTCGCCTTTTTTTAAAAAAAAAAAAATTAATGATGGTTATGTGTCAGATTAATTAAATCCTTATAAATCTTCATCTTTCGGTGATTTTTTTTTTGAAATTTTTTTTTAAAGTCCTATATTATTCATGTAATCCATAGTAGATGTTTGGTTAATATGCCGTGCACCATCATTTGCCAAACTGCTGGCAGCCGGAGCGGGAGCTGAGTTGGCCAATCAGTTTCGTATTGTAAATACCCAAACTGTAATTTTTGGTGTACAGAACCCTGCCTCAGTTGGAACGAATGACAAAGCAGACATAAAATTGCTTGTATAGGATTATCAGGTTGACTATAGCCATACTTGAAGATGCTTCTGAGTGGTGTCAACTTTACTTGAATGAATTTTTCATCTTGATTGACGCACAGTGGTAAAAAGTTCACTTCTAAAGCTAGTGGTTAACTTGTGTAGGAAACTTTAGCAGTTTGACACTAAGGTAATGAACTTCTGTGTGCATTTTCTATGCTTATGTTCTACTTTTTTTTTTTTTTTTTACTTTAGTTTCATTCATTTTCATGAAATGTTTGGTATGTCTATAAAAAGAATCCGAGGATGGTTATAAATACTGTAAGTATTGTAATGTAATGCAGGTTATTTGAAAGCTGTTTATTATTATATCATTCCTGATAACGCTGAGATGTGGGTGTTTTTAATAAAATTTATATTTATTTAATGCACTCTAAGTCTGTCTTGCAGAAACTTGTCTTTCCCTGTCAATTTTATCAGCTGACAACAAAGCTGGCACAGTGAAACGTGGTGCCTAGTACCAGCCATGGGTGAAGAGCCCCTGGGGAACTGGACCACGGTTATAGGGCTGGGGAAACCACCAGCCCGGGGAACTTACATCCAAAACTGGGTTATGAGAAACGGAGGAAGTTGCTCACTTCAGCAGCTTAGAAACTGAATGCATCAACTGACACACCAGGACAACCCAAGTTGTTCCATGAAGCAGGCCCACACGCCCACCTCCACCTTCCCTGACCATCACACTCAAACAAAATGCATCACTAGGGACTTCAAAACAGAGACCTGGACATCACATTTGTTCCTAGTTCTGCTCTGGGACACGTCCTACCTAGCCCAGGCAGCTGCTCAATAGGATCTGTGGTGTTTACAGGGAAGGAGGGAACCATGTTTATGGGCAGGAAGAGGGTGTAGAGCATCACTGCTGGTTTCCTACTGGTGTTTGTGGACACAGATGAATGTGGCATAGTCACTGGTGGAATTTCCTCGCGTCACAGCCACAAATGCACACCTGGCAGAGGCAGGACAAGGGGGAGTTTAGGGTATTTATCTGGACCTGTTTATGCATTTCTCAATTTCAAATTACCCCCAAACGGTTGGATGCTCCAATAGATAGTATTATTGCACCAGGGGAGGTTTAGATTGGACATGAGGAAAAATTTCTTCACTGAAGGGGTTGTCAAGCATTGGAACAGGCTGCCCAGGGAAGTGGTGGAGTTGCCATCCCTGGGGGCAGTGTAGATGTGGTGCTTAGGGACATGGTTCGGTGGTGGACTTGACGATCTTAAAGGTCTTTTCCAACCTAAGTGATTCTACAATTAAGAAAAACCAAAATTATAACAGCCTAAACCCTTACATGTACTCTAACTCACACGTCATCTAGAGACAAGCAGAAGCAGAGTCTGAACGCGTGTCTGAATCAACACCAGGACATACATTCCTGCAGGCACCAGACAAAAGCTTGTTCTCATGGTCCCTTCTTTTAACTTCAAGGGATATCAAGGCTGAATCCTGAAATAGTCTCTTCTGTGGAAAGCGACAGAAGTCGCTCTCTCCACGGCTGCAAAATATTTCTGTGACAATTGATCCTTGAAAGCTTTTCAAGTTTTCTGGAAGACCCCGAGCGTGTTGCCAGCCCTGGTAACCCCCATCCATCAATAGCACACACCTCGGGACAGCCCCCTCACTCTCTGCGTCCTCAGAGATGAGTGTCTGGGGGAAGCAGTGATTTAAAACTCAAAAAAGTCTGTAACCTTCACACCCCCCCCAGCTCCCAGCGTATTCCCAGCTGGGAATGCCTTGAGGCAGGCCAGGACAGCAGCAGCCAAGTGTTGCTCTTCTCTGTGGGCAGGTGCCCCCTGATGCATTAGACAGCTGGAAACAACAGATGCACTCGCTTTAACAAAGGTCTGTCACCCCTTTAGCCTTCCCTGGAAAAAAATCCTACCCTTAATGAACATTCCCACCAGCCCCCCTTTGAACACAAGCGGCTCTCCCTGTGGGGCACTCCACAGATCTCACTCCAGAGCCCCTGCTAACGTTGGCTGTGCCTCTGGAAGTCAGACCATACCTGCTGCCCAGGTTTCTCCCAAAACACAGGCTTCTCCCCGAGACAAGGGCAGTTTGCTCACGAGCCTCCGATGGCCATGACCAAGGCACCACCTCCCATCTCCACCCAACCCCCCGGCTGCTAGTCCTGATAAATTAGTTACAACTGGGGTTGTAATGCCCTGCTGGGCATCCAGCTCCCACAGGTAGCTTCTGCCTGGCCTTTCCTCTTCTCTCACCCATCTGTTCCGTCATTTTCTGCCTTTTCTCATCTCTGGGAGATGACAATACAGCTTTTTATGGGAATGACTGAAAAGCCCGTGATGACAAGACAAGCCAAGGGTGAACAAACCCCAGGCAAAATTTAAGAGCAACAGGTGATTGTGCTCAAACGTGCTGAAAAGCATCCAGTCTGGAAAAACGAGGAAAAGGAAAACCACACTTAAACAAAGGGACTTCTTTTGGAGAAGCAAAGCGCCTCACAGAAGGTGGCAGGGATTAAGAAGTGGTGGGTAACGGTGGTTTCTCCATACGCACCTCTGCTTTCAAACATGAATTTGGAAATATTTTTTAAAAATTCAAATCTTTTCACTTAAGTAAAACTCAAAGCAGGAGAACAAAACCTTGGATCTAAAGAAGAACCCTGTGGTTTACACCAACCTGCAAAACAGAGCCTATGGAAAGGCACGTTCTCCCACCTGCAGGCTGTTCAGAAGAGCAGGGCACCGTCCCTGCCAGGGCTCTCTCTTCCTTCTACACTTGCGTGACACGCATCAGGCTGAACTCCCCAAAGCCTGCTGATAGCCCAGCAGCACCGAGATCAGAATTGGGAGATATCTTTATCTCAGCAGTAAATTAATACTCTGCTGTTTAACTGACACAATCACTTTTTTTCCTCCTGAAAAAAACACGCATCTGTCAAGTTTCTGTTAGACTCAACTATGGTTACCCACCACAGACACAACTATTAATTTTGAGGCATTCAGTAAATGACCATTTTGCCCTAGAAGACCAACAATTTTACCCCCACCACCTCAGGAGCTACAATGAGAGCTCTCCCTCCATGTGAGAGAGTCTGTTTTTCAGTTCAGTTTATGTATTAAGTGCGCCTCTTTACATTGTCCTGTAAATCATTCCCTAAGTTAATTAGGGTGAATATTGCGCTTGGAGGGATTGTTGCAGAACTTGCAAATGAGTCAGTCAGCTCCGTGTTTTACTCACCTTGCCTCTAACGAGCAAAGGGAATATCTGATATGCATGAAGTCAGGACAGAAGAGTTCAGGAAAGAAAAAAGAAAATCCTTCTGGTTAGAGGAAAGAAAAACCTTGCACTGGGGTAAGAAAGCGAGAAAAAAGAAGAAAAAGGTTTGTTAAAGATCTACTACTGTCCTTTCCACTCTTTCCGATCAACCCTGCAGCAGAGCAGGGTCCCACTGGCCTCCATCCACCCAGGGCAACACCAGGGAGGAATCCTCAGATGCCAGGCCACGGGGAAGGGAATTACATACTCCCTACCACATGGTATAAAAACATACCCAAGGCCTTTCTGTTTAGAAATCTCCTTACTCTTGACTTCAATAGGAAGCCTTGCTTCCAGGTTTGGAGCCTGCACCCGTTTCTTTGAGATGTAGGAACAAGGCACCCCTCTTTCTCCTCCAGATCATTTTGCCATGAGTTCAGTGGTTTGATTACTCACAACCTTGATGTTCAGGTCCTCCTTGCCTGAACAGATTCAGAGCACCATCTTACAGGATGTAAAAGGCTTAAAATATTGTGGGGTACACACAGGCTCATCACATCATCCCCCGCCTTCCCACTTCACATAAAAAAAATAAACTTCATTATTTGAAGGAGTGGGGTGGGGGAAGAGTCGTCTGTTCCACCTCCTTTTCAGGTGGGGTTTAATGCTCAGGGTAAAAACAATGCCAGTGGCTTGATTCATAATCCCAGCAGACACATGGTTTGCAGGTTGGTTTTTTTCCCCTTTTACAATCCAGCCAAGCTAATCAAGGTTAACCTGCTTCTCCCGCTCAAGATTTGCTTCAACTAGCACATTAAATACTTCGTAGTATTTTACACATGGAAAACCATCCCAGGGTGAGCACATTTCCTTCCAATGTCATGGCAACACAGCTGTACCCTCCTAAATCACAGCAGAAAAGCCAGCCCAGTGCTTGGCAGGAGCAGCTCGGGATTGTGGCTCAGCTTCCTTTCAGCTTCCACCGCATTAGCCACTGGAACCTCATTGGATTTTCAGGCGTAATCATCTTCCTCTTATTTTTCCACTCCCGTTGTGATTATTTGTAAAAATGACAGCACCATTATCTTTTTGTATGTAAGCCTTCACACAGACCACTTTGGTAAAGAGATTTAACTGGAGGGGATGGCTTAAAGTGCAGTCTGCTCTGAAAAGAGATGGGGAAAGTGGCATCCTGGGGCTCCCAGTCTGCATTTCAATTATTGTTGTAGCTAACACGCCTGATTTGGAATGGGGGTGTGTGTGTGTGTGGCATTTTTCCCCCTCCCCATCTATCCCTCCCCAAACAGATGCAACAGATCTCCTCTGACGAGCTCTTCTCCCCACCTGTGTAGTCCTGGCTCTGTTGACATTTGTACAGGCATAAAGCTGGTCAGATGGCAGGAATCCAGTTCTAATTAATGGGAGCAAATGGTTTGCTATAAACAGAGGAAGGGTTGGCATGGGGGGAGGTGACAGATGTCAAGCAAGGGGAAAACATCTATTAGCTGTTCCCTCCTCCACCAACCACCCCCAACACATTTGTTTTGCATGACAGCCCTTCAGTTCAGGCCCTGAAACATCCAGACTCCACATATTGGATCTGTGTCTGAACCTTTGCAGCATCCGTGCAGCCTTCCCAGGGCAGGAGGAGAGGATACTGGAAGGGACCGTATAAGGCAGAATTTTAAAACCTCAGGCTTGCCTGCCTGCTCTTCAAGAATTTATACAGTCTTATAATCAGTAACCCTGGCAAATCTCCCCTCTGCTTGTCTCGCTGCTGTTAACACTCTCCACACCAGAAGCAATCATGCATTTTGTCAGAGGGCTGTAGTTTGCAGACGTTTATTATCCCGGCTCTTCAGATGAAGACAACTGTGTATTTGCTCCAGCATCTCTGGCATGAGATGCAAACAAGAGCAGCCCATTCCCACCTTGTCCCGGGGTTCCTATGGCAGCACAGAGGGAACTCCTCTCTACCCAGACAGGGACACGGCGAGGAGGTGCCGGGCGATACCAGCCAAACCGGAGCAGTACAAGGAGGGTTTGACACTTCCCACAGCACCCAGATTGCCAGGTGCAGATCCCAGAGACACAGGGTGACAAGCCAAAAGGTGAGCCTCTCCCACAGGACTACCAGGAGGACACAGGGAAT